GTCTGAATTTTGATCATGTGACCCTGGGGACGCTGCAGGGGTTGTAAGGGTGAAAAATGGTCATGTCACTTTTTTCAGTGGTCACTAAGCCAACGGTTCTAGGTTGAGAACTACTTCCGTTGACTAAATTTTTATGCTGCCCATGTGGCTGTTATGGGACTTTGGATGACTCATAATCTGATAAAATAATATTACGAAAGATTAAAGCAGTAAGAGAAAACATGTCACTTAAAATTAACAAATAGCTAAGACAGTGGGGTTCGCCAGAGTGGAGGTGGGATCTTCTATCCAGGAACCACGTCCACAATGGCAGGGCCCCTGGCAGAGCCAGGTTTTCTGAACTCAGCTTTATGGTCCCTCTCATCTGCAAGACTTTGTGCACCTATAGAATTAGTTAACTTGAGTTGTCCGTCCCTCCAGTCTTTTGAATAAAGCTCTCTTTCTTGCTTTCCTACAAGCTACTTGCTCTTCTCTTTCGCAAATCCTGAAAACGGCATTTTCACTTTTGCAAATATATTGATGTTGCCATGTTTACTTACATCCAGATTTTTTTCAAGGGAACCAGATTTGGTACTCTGAAGCTGTTTATTTACGTTTTCAGATCTCTGAAGAAGGCCAGGGAATAGCTTGCATTGCCAACATGTTGAACATCACTAGGATCCATAATGCCACCTTTGCAATTCAGCAAATGAGAAGGTGATTTTCAGTCTACCCCCCTGAGAAATGGAAGCGACTAGGAAGAACTGGGAAAAATTAGTACCAATTCTGCTGTTATCTGAAGGATAATTAGGCAAAGTTAAGTTGGCATGAACAATTTGAAAATGTAGCTTGGAGTCTCCCGATTTCCAAATTGCCACTTTAATACTCTTGTGGAGTTCAGTTTCCTCATTTTTTTTTAACTTTTCTGAATAAAAGTCTGCTTTTGGATCAGTTTTAATCATGCATATTATAGATGTGAGTGGATTTGGGATTTGACCATAAATTGGGCTTCATTTATGTGTGGGAAAGCCGTTTTGTTATAGAGAAGGGCTATTTTTTTATTTGCAAAACAATTCTTGCCCCTAAAAGCTATTATAGAGGCCACGGGACATGTGATGCCATCTGAAAATGTTGGCCAACTTACTGAAGACTGTAAAGGAATACTCGGGTGTATTAAGCATTTCAACATCTTCACACACCTATCTGCAGACTTTAAGCAAGAAAAATACCCATTTTGTTGTCCAATATTGGCAGCATATTCCTGAGTGTTCCTATAGTCTGTATATAAAGAGAAATGGAAATATTTTTATTATGGATTGATAAAGAAACAGTAAAGGGTTCTTAACATTTTTATTATATTAATGTTATATCCCTCCAGTGTATTATATTAGGTACTGATTCCCTTGTTGTTATGACTTAATGAAAGAAATTAAATTCTGGGAAATAGCAGAAATATATTTTAAGTAGTAGAAAAGGAAACAGTTAATCCCCGTGATGGGCTTGATTTCCATCCATAGAATGATCGACTTGGCACGGGATTATGCCACCAAAAGGGAAGCCTTTGAGAAACCCCTGAAGGATCACCCTTTGCATATGCAAACTCTGGCACGGATGGAGGTGAGCACACACCCTCTCGGGTCCCAATGTACTCGGGAAAGATTCCAGCATTTTTTTCCTATTTTTGTTTGAAACCAAACACCAGCGTAGGTAAAGTAACATACCATTGGAGAATATGAAGAACAGAATGAATCATGTAAGATTCAGAAAGCTTGAAAACAAGTTGGGTTCTTATTGGATGCAAGATTATCAAGAATATTAAACAGAAGCCAACCCAATTGGTGTTTTATCAGTTGAACATAGTGATATTGACTGGGTTTTTCCAGTCCAGTCCTGCTTAGTTCATTCTTTATTCTCACTATTCCTGATTAATTTGATTTTGGTATTAACATATTAGGGAAGGAGAAGCAGTTTGTGCAGTGGTGAGGGCATAAGATGAAAAACCAGATGTTGTGAGTTCTAATCTTGCCTTAAGACCAAAGCCAGCTGGGTGACCTTAGGCTGGTCACTTTGTCTGCTTATAAAGCAGGCAAGGGCAAAACATTTCTGAACATTTTTCCAAAGAAAATTGTAAGGACTTGCCACCCCCTCCCCCAGAAAAACTACCATTGCCACTTGTAAACCATGATTCGTAGTTTGCCATATGATTATTGCTCCGGGTAATTGTGCAGGGAGGGAGGGAGGGAGGGAGGGTGGGAGGAGGAGGAGGAGGTGGTGGTGGTGGTTGCCAGCCTGAAGGTGTCTTGCTCAGAGCAACTGCCATCCCACCTGTGCAGGTGCAAGCCCAAGGAGCGTTCCTGCTGGTGATGGAGCTCGCGAGACTGCTTGGCCTGGAAGAAACGAAGATGGCGACGGAGCAGGAGAAGCACATGCTGAGGCTGCTCACTCCTCTCGCTAAGCTTTACACTGCAAAGCNTTTTATTCCTCTTGCTTGCATCATCCCATCTCTTGTAGGAATTGAAGGTAGGGCTGACAGGTAGTTCATCTCTCCATCCATCTCGATATAGTATCTGCCTTTTGTCTCTTGCTTGCAACTCCAACAGTCTTTAGGTATCCCAAAACCCTTGGAAGAAGCCTATGCTCATTTGACCTCCTGTGACCCCAAGACATTCTGGACCTCTGGCCAATGGATGACCGAACGCAAAGGCGGCTCTGACGTTGGTAAGGGGGTCCAACAGGGAGACCCAATCCTTCCTTTCTAAAATATACTGTTTAGCAAATAAGACTTTATTTGGGCAGGCCTACTTATTCAACAGTCTCCATTCAAAGAAGTTAAATTTGTATGTTATGCCATTTTTCCAGGCATGTTTTGTGTTTTTTGCTATTTTTTGAATTTTGTGCTTTATGCATGCTATAGTATATAGAAAATCCATATACTACAACTTGCACAATGGCTGTACAGGTTATCCTCTTGTAGAGCACCCTTCAGTCATATTTTATGGCAGATAAAATCAGATACCTTGCTCACACTGAAGTTACACTACCCCTGATGAAATTGGAAACCTTACAACACATCTTCCGAGGCAGAGGAATTGTGCTGCCAGCTAATTTAACCCTTAATAGCTAGAATGTTAAGTAGGGATTGACATTAATGAGAAAGTATTATATTTTTAAAATGCATTTTGATGCCTGGCTGTAACAAAAAAAAAATTGTTTGAGCAGGCATACCTCTTGAAGTCCAGCCTACCTCACAGGGTTGTGCTGTGGAAAATAGGAAGAGGGAGTTGTGAAGATCATCACAAACTCCTGAATGAAAAGCAGGATCGAAACCTAACTATCAATCAGGGGTCACTGATATCTCAGTTCATCTTCCAGGGAAGATTCCCAGCAGCAAAAAATGTGGTTGTTTTTTAATTATTATTATTACTTTTGCAGGAGGTGGAACAGAAACTGTTGCTCGGGAACTTCCAGATGGCTCCTACAGCCTGCACGGTTTCAAATGGTTCACATCAGCCGCTGATTCAGATACGGCGCTGACCCTGGCAAGGATCGTGGGCCCTGATGGGCAGATAAAACAGGTCGGATTCCCAGGCCAGCCCAAAGAATATGAAACTGTAGCTTGCAAGTAGTTGTGCAGTTAGTAATGTCCGAATTCCAGCTGCATTTATTTCATTCCTCCCAGACGAGGTCTCAGGCTAGCATCTTTTGTGTGGCAGGGCTCCAGAGGCCTCTCTCTCTTCTACCTGAAGACATACGAGGACGGGAAGCTGAATGGCATAAAAATAGAGAGGCTGAAAGAGAAGCTGGGCACAAGGGCGGTGCCAACCGCAGAGCTGTTGCTGGATGGAGCGCGAGCACATCTGGTAGGAACCACGGTGGAAAGTATTTCTGCTCCTCCGTTCACTGAGAGGAGCGCAGAGAGTGCAGCCAGGCAGGGAAGGTGGCTGACTTTGAAAGGAGAGACTCAGCAAGTTGGAAGGGATCGTGTAGAGCAGTGTTTTTCTAACTTGGCAACTTTAAAATATGTAGGCTTCAATTCCCAGAATTCCCCAGCTAGCATACTGATTTATACTGGCAGGTCTGACCTCTGGATGAAAAAAGCATTACACATTGAAGCATTCGCAACAGACAGTTGTTAGGGTTCTGTGTGAACACGTTTGGGGAGTAGAAGTGTTACACAGGGGAAGAGCCTCACCTCTGGTGTCTGGTGCAGCTTATTTGAAAAGATTAGATTAGTAACTAAATATTAGTTTTTAAAATGGTTTAACAAAAAAAAAAAAAAGCTTGAGACTTGCAAGCAATGCATTCAAAGTCTTAGGAACCAGAGGCAGGCAGAATAGGTCTCTTTTGTGCATCTATCAGCAAATTGTGATGAAGTATTTATGTACAGGTTTTCCTTGACTTCTTGAGCCCAACATTGTTATTGCTAAGTGAGAGAGTTGTTACGTGAGTTTTGCCCCATTGTGCTGCAGTTAAGGTAGTAACAGGTTTGTCTCAAAGGTGCATTTAGTAACAGGGTCAGGTCATTAAGTGACTCATACTTTCCCATTGACTTTGCTTGTCAGAAGGTTGCAACAGAGATGACATGACCCCCTGGACACTGCGACCGTCATAAATACGAACCACTTGCCAAGTGTCTGAATTTTGATCATGTGACCCTGGGGACGCTGCAGGGGTTGTAAGGGTGAAAAATGGTCATGTCACTTTTTTCAGTGGTCACTAAGCCAACGGTTCTAGGTTGAGAACTACTTCCGTTGACTAAATTTTTATGCTGCCCATGTGGCTGTTATGGGACTTTGGATGACTCATAATCTGATAAAATAATATTACGAAA